AACAAGAAGAGCCTTACTTTTTAACGTTGTCTTCTCGGTTATTATTTAAGAATTTTATCCTTATATCTTTGCCCCAAAGTCTCCTATTCCATAATTATGACAATGTATAACCAGATTATATTTTAAGTATTAAAAATACATAAAATGTTCCACTTACACATTAATATTTGTATGCTCTGGAGATTGTCGTTTTTCCTTTGACGTTCAGCAAAATACTAAACCACCCATTTTGGTTTTAAATTTCCCTCTATTTTTATTAAAAATAGTGTAGTGTAATTTATTATCTAGTATATTTTGTTTGTTAAGAAAAAGATTATTTTCTATTGAAATATGAATGGTTTAATACCATGTTGTGGACAATTGCATCCATAAATCATAGGGCTATGGCCAGATTTTTAATCTGAAATGAATTTAATGATTGTTTTTGAATCAGTGATTGTTTTAAAGAATGGAAACTGCAGCTCTTGTTGGAGGTGTCATGGTGTGGATTTTTTGTTATTTTGTACCGTTTGGTTTATTTTGTATCCAGATCTCTGTGCTTTGGTTTTAGTTTGACTTCTGTCTTGCTCCCCTGTGTTGATTATCTAGCCCCGCCCTGATGTTTTTCACCTGTCCATCTATGTACCCTGTGCTCCCCTCACCTTGTTGCTGGGTCCATAGTGTCACTCCCGTATTGTCCGGAAACCGGATTCGTCCGGAAGTTCAGTTTGATCCAATGAGCATACGCAGCAGTAGATTACGCCACGGAATCTGGAGCGGAAGCGGAAGTAAATATAAAAAACTACCTATTCATGCCTAAACTTAACCAGCCATTCCCATAAAATAACCCCAACCCAGCCTTAACCCTAAAACTTAACCATCTTAATCAGACGCCTAAACTTAACCCGTCACCACTTAAGGACATATTCAACTTTTTGACATGCGCAAACTGAACTTCCGGACGAATCCGATTTCCGGGACGAATACGGGAGTGACACATAGGGCTGGAAAAGTCTCGTCCCAAAAGCACTTCCGGTTCATTGCTCGGATACAAACAAACCGTCAGCTGTTTGAAGAGGCGGTTTAAGTGTAATGTGCATAATGCTCTGCTTTGTTTTCGGCTGTTATCATCAAAGTTTACGCGACACATGCTCAATTTTTTAGGTTTCCCAAAGACCAACTGAAGCTGTAGGAAAAGCTATGCAGTTCTGATAAAATATTTTGTCTAATTTTACAGACGGTTAACTTGAATATGTAAAGGACCTTCTTCTTCTTCAAGCTAACTTGTAGCTAATGCTAACCTGTAATAGTGCGCGGCCAAGCCTTTAATTGTATTTTAAGATAAGATAAGAAACTTTATTGATGTCACACAGGATAAATATTTGTCTCTCAAATATGTATTTATTTGAGAGATAAAGGAGGAACATATTAACACGTATTAAATAACATTTAACAAATATGAAATGAGAAGAAAACGGACAATCATTAGTATTAAATGAATAGGTAACCCAACTACATCATGTTATTTTTTGACAGCACAGCAAAAAGGAAAAAGGCCCAATGTGAAGACTGCAGTGAGTGTGAAGTAGAGATGGAGCTAATGAACAGATCAGAAAACTGATCATTCATATACATTGGCTTTATAACCAGAATTGACAGCAAAGATAGCAGTAAGAGACAACATCAATTTATTTGCATGGGAATAGCGGTTCTATATTTTCTTTGTGATGCATAATAGTGGATTGAAATACAATGAGTTTGAACACGGCCCTGCACCTTCTCATCTCCCCGTTCATATGGAAACGTCAGCACATGGCCAGTTCACAGCTAATTCCGACCGTTCACTCAGTTTTTCTGTCCCAGAGACGAAAAATATCTAATGTGTCCAAAAAAACACAGGAAAGTCCATTAACGAGAAAGAAGTCGGCGATCTCCGCACCATACAACTGGCAGGTGTGGTTTGTTTGTATCCACGGCTGGAAATCTTGCAACATCTCGCACTTCCTCTTTCCAGCCTATTGTCTTGTCAAGTTCTGTCCTGTTCCTTTGGAGTTTTGCACCTTATTTTTGCATTCCTGCATTTGGGTCCTTCATTGACCTCGTTACAGAAGGTCTGCACTTACGGGGCTTTTCCAGTTTCAAACATGTCTGATTTGAATATGCTGTGGTGGCTGCTGTGACTAAGGACGAACGCACAGTTGTGAATTGTACAATGGTGGCTTTCTGCATGTACAGTACCTAATAATGACAGCTTTAACAATTTTAGAGGATTCTGGAGCAGAGTAAAAAAGCTGATATCAGCATGAGACGAGTTGTGAAGAGCTGATCATGCACCTGTGATAACTCAACATCTGCTCACACACACTCATCCCACACTCACGCATACACACACACATGCACTTTAGGAAGGAAGCAGTGCTTTAAGTGCTTCCAAAAATAGCTCTGTTACGGCTGTTAAGCCAGAATGAAATCACTGCAGGTCAGACGCAGGCCAATGAAAGCAGCACTTGTGCCGCGGTCAAACTCTCTCAACATATAGACTTTCTAATCAGATCTTCCTTAAATGCAAGGACCTAAACTGGATCAGTTGAAGGACACAGATGTGCAGGACACGGCTGGCACTGGGGAGAAGTGCAGCATCCACAACCTGTGAAGCCCAGTGCAAGAAGAGTGGAGCCAAAACATGCTGCAGCCTTTTCTAGGTAAAATTATTTGCACAGTATTTTTCAGTAGCTCTTTCTATAGCTCAAGCATACCCCTAAAAAAATAATGTATATAAAGCCCTATTCAGACGGGATTAGTATTACCTGTGGACCTCTGGTAATTTGTGATAATCACGGAGGACGTTTGAGATGTTAGTCCCGTGCGAATGAGCCATGTCATGTAATTTGTAAAGTAATTATTCCGCCGCAAATTACCTCCTGTATTTGTCCAAACAGACGTCCTCTGATAATATAAATCCCATGGAAATCTGCATGTCAGTGATTGTGATTGCTTATTACTGCTTTCTCTTTACTTTCTGCGTTGTTTTTTGTTGTTGTCAATGAGCGGGAGTTGCGTATCGCGGCTGCTGCTGTCTCTGAGGTCTATGGTGAGCTAGAGGACAGTGTTATGTGTTCACTGACACTAAATGATCAGACTGATGGGTTGCGTTTGTACGTTTACTTTGCGCTCTGTCCTAACACAGTACAGACATGTTGCTGCAGCGGTTAGCAGTAAGGGCTAGAGAACTGTAGAGCAGTAAAATCCACACTTATGTGTTTGTCCTCATGGTCTCAAAATTATTTTGAGATTCATTTTTAAATTAATACATATATATTTTTAAATTAAGCTCATAACATTAATCTCATCATATTTTTAGATCTCATAATTTTGCTAGTTCGACTTTATATTCTCATAATATTTCGACTTTTAAGTCAACATTTTATAACTTTATTCTCAGTCTGGCTAAAGAAGAAAAAAGGGTGTCTCTTTTGCTCAGTGTAACTCTTTCATTTAGGCCTGTTGCTGTTTCCTTGGCGTCTGCACACGGCCCTGCAGTCCCTTATGGGCATTAATGGGTGGTTACCTATGCTAAGTAACTCATTTTAATGAAGCACCGGGCATGCGCGCTCTATTTACGAGGAGTTGGCATTCATCAATCTGAGAGGAACAGCTGCGAACAATTCAGCGGCTTACGAGCAACGTTGAATGAAAATCCCACGTAGGGTCTTCTTAGAAATTTTAAGAACGACCTTGAGAAGAAATTTAAGAAGTTTCTTACGAAGTCATTCTTGAATGAGGCCCATTGATAGTAAGAGACTAATAAATACTACTATGGCATGATACATGATCCATCCATCCATTTTCTACCCTTTAATCCATTTCTGGGTCTGGGGGGGGTGGCAATCAGAGATGCCACCCAAAGTCTCATAGCACCAGCCCTCACTGACCCTCTGCAGGTGGTGAGTCCACAGGAGGCTGCTCTCTGAGTGTGAGCATAGCCTTGATCATTCAGTGGGGGCTTTGGGCAAAGTGGGGTTAAGTGTCTTGCCCAAGGACACAACGACAGCAGTCATCAGTGGGAGTCGGTGGAGAAGGTGTAGAGGTGGGAATTGAACCCACGACCTTCAGGCCTGAAGGCCCAATGCTCTACCAACTGAGCTACTGTCGCATGATACACATCTTTGTTAATATAATCCTCTCCCAAAAAAAACCCCCTGTGTCGGGGCCAGGACTCTGAAATCTCAGTGGGACATTTTTGGTTAAATTGAGGTCAATAAAAATTAAAGCCGCAAGCTCCCCGCACGCGCGCCTACCCTGCGCCACGCAGCCCCCGCACCACGCGCCACGCACCCGCGCCCGGCACCACGCCTGCCTCGCACCACGCCGCCCCGCACCATGCCCCGCACCAGCCTCCCGCACCACGCCGCCCCGCACCACGCCGCCCGCGCACCACGCGGATCTGCACCATGCCGCTCCACAACGCCCCGCACTACGCCACACCACACCGTACCATGCAGCACTGCCGCAAAGGAGGTGGCGCTGTCGTGTGATGATTTGTTTCCGTAGCCATAGAAGAATGTTAGTCAAATTGTAATGAATATGATAAGTAGAGTTGTCCCCATGTAAACTTTGACTCAGTTTGTAGGGGGCGCTAATGGGCCAATTTCAAATATTTCACTTTGACCTAAACCCTAACCTAAACCCTGGAGTTGAACAATGGATTCACGTTTTGTGCAAATCAGACTTTGTTTGTGCAAACGGGGAAAAAAATATGTTGTCACAATCGGCCAAAAAAAACTCACATTTTGCCGCACCCACTGCTTGTACAACGTTGTTTGGGCTTTGGTGATGTCTTTAAAAACTCAGCAGGGAAGCTACAGGACTTTAAGAATGGATTTCAGGTGTGTAGCAGAATGTGGCGTTTGTGACTTTATGGTGTACTGTATGTTTGTACTGTATGTGCTGC